AATAAGATCAAGGAGGAAGGGAGGAAGGGAGGAAAGCCAACAAGAAGAGACAAAGCAAGCAGAGGAAAGAGCTGAAGACCAAGAAAAGTCAGTTCCAGACCATCTTAGCTCAGCTCCTGGATCCATCCAGCTGTGCCTAAAACAGGACCTAATTGTGGATGTTTCGAACATTGAGCCAATAAATTACTGTTTTCCTTTTAAAAAAAATAGTACCAAAAGAGAAAAACATTTTTGCCTTGGTTATATGAGAGAATACCCTGTTCTTAGGTGATATGCTGAAGAACTGGCTGCAACTCTCAGTCCAAAAAAGTGATAACACGTCTGTGTATCACAGGAGAGAGGAAAAAAAGGTGGCAAAAGCCTAACAAGTGGTGAATCTAGACAAAGGGTCTCTGAGGAGTCACAGAGCTCCCTGCGTATGAATGCGATGAGGACCAAGGTCTGACATTAACGAGCCTCAGGCTCACTGCTCTTCACCTGTCACATGGTGAGAAGTTCCTTGGGGGTATCAGTGTGTGCTACACTGGACCCCCAGGGAACTGAAAATGAACAAGAGAGCCATCATCCTGGGCACAAACAGGGACAGAGAGAGAAGAGCTGCTTCCGCTCCAACCTGCCCCCAGGAGGGCCTGCCTTCCAGTTTTACAAGCATGACACCTGGCTTTCAAACAGTTTTCCTTAAAGTGAAGAAAAAGCGCCATGTCCTTGGCCTCCACCTGCTATCATGAGGAGCTTCTCCAGGTCCTTGATGATATAAATTTGGAAGACTGCTCCGATTCCCGGGACGTGGGTGAGGGAGTTTTTCAAGACATTCAGTGCATAGAGCCCTTCCTCGGTGCCTACCAACACCACCTGCAAGGGCAGAAGTGCAAGGGCAGAGCATAAGCACCGTCACATCACCATAACAACCAAACAGGAAGAGGCACAAAGCTGACACAGCCCTTTCTTTCTTGACGGCGTGTGGCTGTTGCCAGACGCCAAGCTGACAGTGTCCAGAAAACACCGTTACCTGGTCGCTGAAGGGCAGTGTGCAGTTCATGTCTAGCCGGTCATCACCTTCCAGTTTCAGCAGGGAGTTTCCAAGCAATTTCTTTTCATATGTGAAAGAAAATAAGAAAGAAAAAAGAGGACCTCGTGAGATTGAACTGTTTCATGACCAGAGAGACAAAAGCAAGAATGGAGAGAAGCCAGAAAGAAAGGCAAGTTTCTCCTGAAAACACTCAGAAACACACATCTGCTCTTGGCTTGCCTCATATTTTGATCTGAGCTCAAAAGGCAAGACGGGGGGGTCTTACCGCTGTCTCTGGGGTGGTTGTTAATTAGCATTGGAGTTAGAACTCCGCTTGGACGCAGAAGTAAATGAGTATAATAGTTGTAGAAATATTCTGCGTGGAAAATAAGCTGAAGCTAAAGATGTACCTGCAAAGGGTTAATGAGCACATGGAAGGTTCTTTCCCCTACAGGCTGTAGCAAAAGTGCAAAGCCCAGCGTCAGCAGCAAACCAACAAGCTTTGGAGTCTCTTTACCTGAACCCATGCAGGCAGAAGCCCATGGGGAACGCAGCCAGGGCCCTAGTGTACACACAGTAACGTGGATTCAGTCAAAGGCGTACACGGGTAATGATGAAACAGGTCACTGAACACCTCTACCCCGTGAACAGAGCTCCTGACAGCAGGAGATTCGCGGCTAAGGATTTCCAATTGCTAATATTTCAAGTGTTTATTAGGAGAGATAAGTGTTTGAAAAGCACTGTTTGGTCTTATGTGGAGAAAATGCCAATGAACAACGAGCCCTGTTTATATCCTGAAAAGTTCTAGGAGGGCTGCTGCCAATCAAGGCACACCTACGTTTCTAACATCTCAAGGATACGTAGGATTTCAAACCTGCCTACGGAAGAGCAAATCGTGTCGAAGCAATTGAGAAGGTTATGAAAAGCTTGACTGAAGTAGACACAGCTGTCGGCCGCCTTTTGTGCTGCTTCATGGCCAACGTGCTTGAAACTCAAGCCTTCAACCCCAATAAACTCATCAGAATAAACAAGAGAGAGGATTGCCATGTAAGTCCATAGATGCTGTGTTGCCCTGATTAAGAGGTGGCTAATGGTGCTGCTGTCCATTCTGAAAGAGGGCCCGTGATGCCAGACAAGCCACCTGAGAGCCTGTCTCTCTGTCCCCACAGAACTCCGCTCATGGAGTCATCACCCCTCTGAGAGGGAGCCCGAGGGAAATCATGACAGCCAGGACCCCACCGAGTCAGCCCACAAAGACAAGCCCTAGCGCCCGCTTTCATACTCACAGCATCGGCTTCTGCCTTTTCCCTAGAAACTCTCCCACCTGCGACAACTGATTCTAAGGCGGTGACCCAGCGCTGCTTGTCGGGGAAGCTGGGAGCTAGCAAGTAGAGGGTTCTCCCGGGCCAGCAGGTGGTGTGCGGGTGGGACTCCATCTTCAGGATGTATGGGACATCTAGGAGATGCGACAGAGAGCACAGGGTTGGATGTGGATTTCCCCACTCCCGCCGGAAGGGATGGCCCTGAGGTCTCAGAGATTTCACTGCTAAGACAGGGAGTTCAGGAGGTTGGGCCCTTGTGCAGGCCAATCCCCCACATACCCTCCTGCCCCCAGTGATTCAGCAAGCCCAGCCCACCTCCGGGGAGGCTCCTGCTCCCCTCACCTGCTTTGGCTGTATTTGCGAGTTCAGAAGCACCAACGGCGCCATGAATAGATACATCCCCGTCGGGAAGGCACAGCTCAAATTCTTCCACCGGCCTCTGTCCAGCTTGGTGCAAAGAGGAAGGGCAGAAAGAAAAACAAAAGAACAGGAACAAGAACAAGGGGAGAAAAGAGGAAGAGAGAGAGAGAGAGAGAGAGAGAGAGAGAGAGAGAGAGAGGGAAAGAGAAGAGGAGAGGAGACAGTATGCATGGAAAGAGGCACACGAGAACAAAGGAGGGAAGGGTGTGCAGAGAAGGCGGAGAGGGAAGATAAAAAAATAAAGTGTGTCAGATGAGCAGCACAGTCAACTGTGTGATGACGATGCGGATTTATGGGTTAGTTGGCTGAGGCAGGAGTTCTCGGAAGGTGTGTTAGCAGGTGGAATCTTCAGGGCAGCACCCTGCAGGGTCTTCAGAGGGGAGACCTATAGATGTGAGTATCGTACCAATAACCTTTAGTGAAGTCACTTGGTGTTTAATTTTCAAAAATGGGAAATTGTAGAAGGCTTGCAGCGCAGTCCAAAAAAAACAAAGCCTTCACGCCAAGCCTGGGAGCCCTGGGTCCACCACGTGCAATGAAATCCCCCTGAATTACTAATTTACCTTCTCTGGCTTCGTTGTCATAAATGAGGACTTTGGATCCCTCCAGGACAATGTACTTCCTGTCCCAGCCTTGCTGTCCCCGTTTGTTATTCCTGGGAAAACAGATGGAAAAGAAGAAATGTTTGAATTCAGAGGAATCAGGCGGGAGGAAGGGGAGGGGTAGGGAGGAATTCTCTAGAAAACACCAGGATTGGAAGTGGCCTGTGCCCTTTCATGCCAGCACAGGGGAGGAAACACTTGCTTCACCCCTCTAGGTTCTGTGGCTGGCATAGGAGCCACTGATACCAGAAGATGAACGGGAGAAAAGCAAGCACATCTTATTTTGCCAGGGCATCTCCATAGGAAAATAAAGAACCAAAAAGCCGATAGGCCAAGTGCTTGTATTCTAGGCTGAACAGAGTAGTAATTTTGGAAAAGTGACTAAAATGTCCAGGGGCAGCCATGACTCCCCGTCTCTGGTGATAGGAGTGTTTCTTTCCTGCTGGTGCAGGGAGGCAGCTCTGACAGGGAGTTTTATCCCCGACTTTCAGGAAGGGGAAGGGGAGGTCAGAGTATCCTTGCACCTGCTGCTTTTCAAGAGCTTTTAGTTCAAAACAGCCCTTATCCCAGAGTGGCATCTTTGGGGGTGGCACATTCTGCCATCCTTCACCAGCACCAGCCCAAGCTACCCTGCAACGATACCTGGGCACCTTCATCCAACCTTCCAGGTGCAAGCTGCTGCTGGGCTCCTTGGCCTGGAGGCCCGGGGAGTTCATTTTGTCGCGGCAGAAGGCCTCGGTGAAGTGTGTGGCATATTCGGCTGGCAGGCCACAGGTCGCTGGCAAGCACGTGGAGCACTTGGGATGACACATCACCTGACATTCTAGGGAAAAGCAGGGGACAACCTGAAAACTCACGTGGCTGATCCTGGACTGTTCCCTTCCTCTGCCAGCCACCCCCCTGCTGGGCTTGTCAGTCTGGCCTTGTCATCCAGGTAACCCCTAAGCTTCCCCAGGAGCCAGGCCTCTACAGAGACAGGAAATGAGAGAGCCAAGTGCTCTCAGTCCAGTTGTTCTGGCCTCTCCCAGGCTATCACAAACAAATGTGTAAAGGACACATGTGCATGCTCCAGTGGAAGCCAGCAAGCACACAGCCTAATGGGAGGCAGAGACCAGCCAGAAGAAAGGGGGCTGGAAATTAGCAAAGCCCAAGGCAGTTTGACCAGGAGGTTGGAGACATGAGCCAAAAACAGGTATAAACTCACTCCTCCAACAAGAGAAAAATAGTATCCTCCCACAGAAACTAAAAGCTTGAAAATGAATGTACTCTATGATAAGGAAATTAAAATGGGGGGGAAAAGGATAGATTTTTTTTTTTAGGTGGAGACACACAGGTGCCCACTGCAAACATACAACCACTGCTCTTACCAAGACATTTGGATGCCTGGCGTCCAAAGTGCACAGTATCCAGACACACAGCGCATTTTGTGGCTCGCATGTTCAGTCCCACGTTAAACCGGTGAGGAATATTGTGGTGCATGCGTTCCTTAAGACGCCGGCTGAACTCTGGAGGAAAATTTTTAAAAATCATTAGGGTGCTACAAATTAAACCATCAAGAAAGTGGAAAGACAACCCACAGAACAGGAAAAAATACTTGCATATCATACTCTGACAAGGGACTTGTAGCTTGACTATATAAAGAACTCTTACAAAGCAATAATAAAATGACACATAACCTAATTAAAAATGAGAAAAGGATCTGAATAAGCATCTCGCCAAAGAAGATAAATGAATGACCAACAAACAAATATAAAGATGTTCGACATCATTAGTCACTAGGGAAACGCAAATCAAAACCACAAGGAGATACCGCTCATGCCCCCAGAAGTCTAGAATTTAAAATATGGAAAATAAGTGGTGAGGATGTGCAGACATTGGAACCTGCATACATTGCTTGTTGGAATGTAAAATGCCAAGGCCACTTTGGAACCCACTCTGGCCATTCCCCAAAAAGTTAACCATAGGATTACCATGTGACCCAGAAATTTCACTCGTAGGTATACGCCCAAGAGAATTGAAAACATATGTAGCTACAGAATGTGTACATAAATGTTCATAACAGCATTATATATGACAGCCAAAAAAATGGAAACAACCCAAATGCCCAAATGTGCTATTCATACAGTAGAATATTATTCAGCCATAAAAATGGAGTACGTGGTAGATGGATCCCAAAACTTTATGCTCAATGAAAAAAGCCACATATGGTTTGATTTCATTTACATGACATGTCCAGAATGCAAATTCAGAGACAGAAAGCACATTCGTGATTGCCAGAGGTTGGGCAAAAAAGAGAAATGGGAAGTGGCTGCCAATGAGTATAGAAGGTTTTTTGGGGGGAAAAGGATGGAACCAAATATTAGAATGCAATGTTATACAACCTGGTAAATTTAACAAAAAAGACTGAATTATACATTTCAGTGAGTACATGGTATGACATGTGAACTTATCTCAATAACATTGTTTTTGTTTTGTTTTGTTTTTTATACATTTTATTGATTTTTTACAGAGAAGAAGGGAGAGAGATAGGG